TAGACCTTTACCTTCGTCGTTTCCAGAGCTATGTAAACTCGATAGGAGCGAGACCCGATGAAATACCTCATATATTGATAAACTGCATGGGGGATGAGGTAATGATGGCTGTAGAGAGGTTCCTTGTTCCCAACTTGCCGTATGAACAGTTGATAGCAATCTTGAGAAGGGAGCTGGTAGGAACGAATGAAAATAGAGAATCGTATAAGGCCAAATTACGAAAGACATTGAGAACCCGCAATGAAAATGTTAGAGCGTACTATGTTCGTTTATATAATATTGCTAAGAAAGCTTATGCCAATAATGAGGATTTCCGGGACCTGGCCCTGCGAGACGCGTTTATTAATAACATGCAAGACGCGGGAATTTCGGCTCGATTGCGTGAACAGGCTAACATGAATAATGAGCAGCTATTAGAGCATGCTGCCATGCTGGTAACCTGCAAGAATGCCTCTGCCCGTCAACCTGATCAAGTTAATGCAGCACTTAATGCTGACGAGTCTGGCCCGAATGAGCTACAGAAAATGTCGGACCAATTAGGACAGCTTGTTGACTTAATGGCCAATAATGTACTCAATACTAAGCCTTCTGCTAACACCTCTCAGACTCCAGTTACTGCACCAGGTCAAAATAATCCACAGTTGCAGGATCATCAAGGTAACAACTATCAGACTTACCAATATCAGGGTTCGAGACGCAGTGTAGGATTACCAGGTTATCAAAATAATAACCAAGGTAATAGAAACCCCGGTTATTATAGAGGACAAAGGTATCCAGGCAATTTCCAGTCTTACAATAGAAATCAGAACAATTTCTATCGTGACAATTACAAGAGTAACTACCGGCAGGATAACAGGTCTTTCATTAATCGGCCTGACAATAGAAATAATGCCTGGAACAATGATCGTGCACCTCGTTACAATTCTGATAGAAACCAACAAATGCCTGCCTTACAGGGATCTGAACAGCAAAATTATAGACCAAGAGGCCAGTATCAGACTAATTATCGGCCACAACAGTCAGAACCACCGTGGAGATGGGCAGAATTTTTAAATATGGCCTCCTACGATCAGGAGGCCGAGTACAGCATGTCTAATGATGATGATAGAACAGCCTAGGTAATGGATCCCGTATCATGTCAATAAGAAACATGGATTGTATTTACAAAAGGGGAGTGTTCTCCCTAATCCTGTATCTACCCTGACCCATTGCAATATCCCATTGCAATATCCCATTGCAATATTATGCCTATGGGAGATTGTTCTCCCATATCTTTCCAGCCGGCCAGGCATAATCTTATTATTTTACTACTTTACGATTATTATAACAATTATTATAAATAAATTGTTTTAAATAATTTTTAAGTAGGTTAACCGAAGAAATTATTAAGTATTTGATTAATTTTTTTTGAAAAAAAAAAAATTTTAAAAATTTATTACGCGATTTTAAATGGTGTATGGATGTTTTAAAACGCGTTAAATTTTTAAATGAATACATTTTCTAGTCATTTAAGTTTAATCGACGAGGCCGTCTCTATTTCAGCGGGGAGGTGTAAGGAACCTCGAAATTCTATATTAATTTCAATCTTCCTTTAAAGATAGTTAAATGACTTAGGCTTATAGTTAACAACCATTTCCATAGAGGATAAATAGTAAATTTGTTAACGATAGAAGTATACCAGAAATGAAATATACGTTGACGTTTAATTAACAAAAGGACACTTTCTGTGAGAAAACTATCAAATCATTTGACACGCTTGATGAGTTACCACGGACTTATGGAGGGGTTAATTAGGAGCACAAGACCAGCCTATCACAAGACGAAGCGTGACGAGGAATGATAAGCAGGGAGTTTAAACAAGGAGGAGCAATTTCGATCGTGATGAACAATACTGCGTTCCCTGAGAAAAGGCTGGAACGGCAGAATAGACTCTGGGAAATTCAGGGAGATATAGCGGAGAACGATCGAAGGACCGATGTCTTTCTCACGTCAGGGCAGTCTGTTAGGTTGTGTCAGTGCAACGTGCTTGTAAACAGAGTCCAGTAAGCCGGTTCCGCCCGGGTGCTTTAACCTTTCCAGTCATAAGTATTCCAGTAAGTTCCTTGCTTTAAATTACTGTTCGCCGTTTAAATTAGTATTTTGTTTCTTATTAAAAGAGTCTGACGTGAAAGTTATATTTACAATGTTTCTAGTGTTTATTCACGTACCCTCTAGGCATATAAATTCTATGCAGTACACTAAAAGTAAATTCTTACCAGGTTGCAGTGGATCCGATCCGTCACATCGAATAGATTCCCCCGTACATTAAAGAACAGTGACTAGTAAGTAAGTGCAACTTGATTAGCAGAAGATACATATAATACCTCCTCCAAATAATTAATATTCCATTTATCATAAATAAATTATCCTTCATAATTGTCTAACGTTCTGCCATCTTAAATCCTCGTAAGAGTAATTTGCATGATTCTTTGATTACTTTTTATCCAAGGTTTCCGGGTAAAAGTAAGCTAACGACGATAAGATTCCCGATCTCCTTCTCACTTGAAGGACCATTATACGGATTGAAGTTGTTCTCGAGGTAAATTCCTTTTCCATTAGTTTTTACATAAATAGGTTTAAGAATATCTTTGGTAATCGTAGTTCTGTGCTCTCAAAATTATATACTTTGTACAAAATTACGTTTCCGTTCCCAGGTAGAGAGACACGAACATTCCTGCTCAAACCGTGCTGCCTTTGCCGATACCTGCTAGAATAATTGATTCTCCTTCGTCAACCGAGGTAATTAGTTCAATTATAACGTCAGCATAAAATAGTAGTTGTCTTAATAATTAAGTTCATTAAGTATTGGTTGATAGAGCTGTAAGAATTGATATTTCTTTTATATTAATGTTTACGAGTGCAGGATTAAAGTAGTTTCCCGTTGGTTACGTAATAAATTGTTTCTATTGCCATAGTTAAAAGATATTGCTTTCAGACCATTCGTGACAGTCAAACTGTTGACGGTGAGACTCAGTCAAAGACGCGTGATATTCCAGCCCTCCTACACTATTTCTCAGAGAGAGACTTATCAAAAGGTGATTGCACCAACATAGACTTAGAGTTCCTTTAAATAGGTTATGAGAAGAATTTCTACCGTGTCAATTAATTAGTATAGTATCAAAAGGTTACTTCCATTGTTATACAAACATCTTTCAATTTAAGAAGGTTTTCGCTCATTAATTATACTACCATTAGTTGTTCTATATTTTGTTCTATATTGTCGTTTCAATTTGTGTCAACCCACCAAAATTGAAAGTCTGAATTATAATCATTAACCGCACTAAATTAAATAAGAAGTAACATGAAACTCTGAATTCTAGCAAAACTATAATTTCCATAAAACAAAAGTTTTAAGACGCTCAATCGTGGGTTCAGAACCTTCCGAAACGGACTCTCTTGATATAACCGGGGCCTCCCATGTATAGTTCTAGCCAAGTCAAAAGGAGCTCTAAATAAATAATTTCTTGGAGGAAATAAAGTACTACATACCATGGACATGGGAGAGGTGATTATTACCCGGTACTTGCAAACTAACACCTGATTAAATTGGTACCGCGGTTAATAACAATAATAAATATAAAGGCTCAGTAAAAACTCTGCCAAACTGACTTGCTCTTTTGTTGGGATTGGGAAGTAAAACAATTAATTCGTTAGCGTTAAATTTAAAACGAGGAGAAATTTCTGAATTTGTAAAAGTGTCATATTCTTTAAAAAATATTCATATTGTATCAAGTAGTCAACCAGACGGGCTCGATCTTTTGTTCAAGAAAGAACAATTAATTTTTTAGAATTAGTAAATTGCTATTGTTATTCGTTTATATTCATCATGTTTACTTTTAGATAAATTTAAATAAAACGTAGGACACGTATGATGTTGCACCGAAAATTTTACTATATAAATATGCTACATCATCTTGGAAAATGGTTATTATTCTATAGCGGCAATATGTTTTATTTTCTTGTCTGTATTATATTTCTACTGCTACCATAATCTAAATCAGTATTAGCGATTGATACATCTGCAAGAGTATTGGTTTAACGCCACCTAATTTAAGAATTTTTGGAAAATGTATCCTAAAACTGTTGTGAAACTTATTTTCGAGGTATAGTATTACTAGCAACTACGAAGCCGGACCCCAAACTAAGTGTCCGTTGTTCAGTCATGCTCCTAGTCCTATTTGATCCATTTTTGGTCCAATTATGCAAAATTTCACCTCAACATACCCAGATTTTAGGCTCTATCAAAATATTCATACTACTGTACCCATTTATGGACTGAAATCCAGTAATAGTCCGCTGAGCTGAGGGGCACCTGGGGGGGGGGGGGGGGGGGGGGGGGGGGGTGCGCCAAATTGGTATTTCAATGTGGGACAATTGTGAAAGACTTAACCAAAGTATATTTTGTACTTTTTTTAGAGATTTTACCGGCGTATCCTTTAAAATCACGTAGTTTGTCCAATTTTACTTTTCTAATTTAATAGGGGAGAGGGGGGGGGGGGGGGGGGGGACGTTAAGATACTGTAATGAAATTTATTAGTCAATTCATTTCCTGCGCAAGCGTTTATCAAAAACTTGTAATTGTGCACCTCGCTGCGCTGTAACTATAATGGTAACTAGTAGTGTTACTATGGTAACTTGTAATTGTACACCTATGGTAACTAGTATTTTATCAATATCTAGGGTAACTTGTAAAGTTGTAATTGTGCACCTATGGTAACTAGTATTGTAACTACTAGGAGGTCGTTCACAAATTACGAAATCAATTTTTGGAACATTCCCCCCACCCCTCCCTCCGTAATCAGTTTTACACAGAGCTATTGTGTCAAAATTACACTAGCGTAATCATTCGGAAACCCCCCCCCCTCCCCTCCAATAAACTGTTCGATATTTGCAGCTAGAAACAATGAGGTGGACAATTTTGCTTGCGTGCATGCTTGGACTAGTCGCTGGTGGGTGCCCGCTCGCCAAGATGTCTAAAGCAGAGAGAGCTGAACACAAACGAAAGATGGAAGCCTGGACAGAGAATTTACGGAAAGCTAATCTCGCCAAATTAGACCCTAAAGATAATCCCGAAAGTGATGAATACGTCTCGCCTGGACCTCTTACCCCTGGGGTAAGTTTGACCGGAGAGAGACAGAGAGAGACAGAGAGAGAGAGAGAGAGAGAGAGAGAGAGAGAGAGAGAGAGAGAGAGAGAGAGAGAGAGAGAGAGAGAGAGAGAGAGAGAGAGAGAGAGAGAAAGAGAGAGAGAGAGAGAGAGAGAGAGAGAGAGAGAGAGAGAGAGAGAGAGAGAGAGAGAGAGAGAGAGAGAGAGAGAGAGAGAGAGAGAGAGAGAGAGAGAGAGAGAGAGAGAGAGAGAGAGAGAGAGAGAGAGAGAGAGAGAGAGAGAGAGAGAGAGAGAAAGAGAGAGGGAGAGAGAGAGAAAGAGAAAGAGATTGCACCAGGGGCTGTTACCACCGCCCCTGGTGCAATCCCAGCGGGTTAAAGATAGAGGGACAGTGACTTCCAGGGGCGGTCGTGGCCTGCTATCAGCTATGTGCAACTCGTCGTAGTGTAACTATGGTAATACGTCGTAGTGTGCGTGCGTTGTTCCTGGTGTTTAACGGGATCGTCAAACAGTTGTCTGGATGGCTAAGAGGAAATTGTATCTCGGGCCCTCGCTTATATGTTTATATTTTGAATCACAGTATCCAACTTCTGAAAATGTTCCTATTTTGGAACCGTCCATGAATATTGCCCAGTGTGAATTCTAGGTGATTCCGACCTGCAACGTCACTGCAACGTCACTGCAACGTCACTGCAACGTCACTACAACGTCACTGCAGACCGCTCCTCTAATTCTCCTCTAATTGTTCTTTTGAATTTCCTATCGAAAACCGAATCCTGGGGTAATACGAGACATCAAGACATGTTACCTAGAGTGGTTCATTTTACCAAAAGTTGTTCAAATAATTAGAAATCATATCTTATTAGTTGCTCTATAGGGTCAGGAACGACCAAAAAAATTTTTTTGACTCTAGTGTTCCGGATATGGTCCGCACATGCCACGCCCATTTTTATAGCGTTTCTTATACAGGTAAAATTGTCTAAATCGTCAATTTAGTCATGAAGGAGTATGGAAGGAGTTCTGAATGTGTGCTCCTCTAATATAAACAGTAAAAAATGGTTAACTTTAGTCGAGGTCTCAGGTCTCTACAATGTCGGGAAGTTCCTGCAGGAGTTTGCGCATTGCGCTGAAGCGCGGGATTCACTGCGCCAAAAGTGAAGGTCGTAGAGACATGAGACCTTGACTAAAGTTAACCATTTCATACCATTACTATAGGAGTGTGACACTTTCAGAGTCCTGAACACATTCCTATATCACTTAATCGTCAATTATATGAATTTTACCTGTTAAAATATATCATCTTTAACTGATATCAATTTAGTTTAACACTGTTAGCTTTTAAATAGGAAATAATTTACTTCACACCAAACTAACACACAATATGAGAGTATACAAAAAGGAGGCTTTCTTGGAGACTACCTGGACCGAGCATCAAAATAGTACACATTGCTGCAGTCATTGTCGAGACTCAAAAATGAGAGGGTCTAGTTCTGCCGTTTTCTGACAAAAGTGCTTAAGTAACATTTTGGAAATTTCGGGTTTTTTGGTCTAACTTTTGTTTTTGGGTCAAGAACTATCCCTGAGGACCATTGGATAGATTCGCCGACTTCCCGAAACCCCCTTTTTGGAACCCCCTAAAATGCAAAATATGGTCATTTTTCTGAGAAAAGTGCTTAAGTAACATTTTGGAAAACGGGTGCCGTTTATCTCAAAAACGGTGCCATTTCGGGAACTGAAAACGGTGGCATTGTTTTTTACGCCCAAAACTGGCCTAGTGACGGTAATTTGGTGATCGTGGGTCTTTTGGCCTGGGAGAAAACAATTTATGTCACTTAAGCACTTTTGTGAAAACGGGCTCGTTTTCTCACAAAAGTGCTTAAGTGCCATTATATGTTTAATTAAATGTTGATTCTGCCAACTGAAACTATATAATCGGTACTAACAAATCTAAATTTCCACGGCGGATCGATTGGTGATGGTTTAAAACTTCAGAAACGCTAGCTTCCCCGTCAAAATTGCCGATTTGTCAATGCAGAATGTTCCAAAATTAAGTTCAAAATTTGCTTTAAAATGTTCATTCTGTAATCAGTTGAGACTGTAGATTTTTAAGCTTCCCTGGCCTAAGATAAGGCAAATCATCGATTGGCTTAGGTCTCCGAATCTGAAAATAATAAAAGCCTCTACAAAAAGCAATGTGTGTTGTATATTATAATAATATGATTGTTAGCGAATTGTCCACTATTCATTAACTTTCAATTATTGTGTATTATTGCATATCCAGATTTCCAACACATTAAATCTATATATTATGGGAGATAATTCACGAAACTATTACTGGGAGGAAAGATGAAAACGTGTCTTCGACATAGGTCAAAGCTTTTAGGAATTTTGCTGAATAGAAGGGAGAATTGGCGAAAGCCGGGAAATTATTTTTAGGCAGACAATTGTTCTGTAGTAGTGGAACAGCTATACTGAGGTAATTGGACTACTGCGGACCCTCTACCGGCCAAACCTTGTTAACAAAGCCGCAGTCAAGGTTCGGTGAACGGTAGTTAAAAGCACTTAAGGGACATAAGTCAAAATGGTAGAGCAACATTTTGTAGGGGACATCTTGAGAAATGAGTAGTAGGTAGAATGTAAGGTTGCTCCTTTATAAATCGTCTTTTTCTCCGATAATAAATTGACATCAAGTCTTGAAAATTATTCGAGAAGAATCTCGAATAATTGAGTTGCAGCGTGCCACATGGCTATCTAAACCAGGCCTCCCAGCGAACCTTGAAAACCTTGAAAACCTTGAAAACCTGAAATTTTAAATCAAAAACCTTGAAAACCTAGGATTTTCACAAAAACGCTTGAAAACCTTGAATTTCAACTCAAAATTTACAAAAATTTCGCCTCCGACAGTTTTCTTGCTTAAAATCACAGCCTTGGCCCCCCCCCCAGTCCCTGTTATATTGTTATTGCAAAAAAAGTTTTTAAGTTCACCTGTCTTTTATTAGTTTTGAGAAAAAAAGAGAAATTTACAAATTTTCGTACTGCAAACATACATATATTCGTCTTTAAAACCTTGAAAACCTTGAAAAGGGCTTGAAAACCAAGAAAACCACCTTGAAAACCTTGAATTTTAGGGAATTTTAGGGAATTTTAGGCTGGGAAGCCTGATCTAAACTGCAAACCCTACCCATTGCTGAGCAAGGCCTTTATCTTCTCCGACAAGCGGGATCATCAATAATGAAGTCTGCTCGTCATCTTCTTACAGCGTTCGATGTCTGTGTGAAGGTAAAGTGGTGATATCCTCTGGATCAGGCAGAGGTCGAGTGTTATTACCTCAGTATGGCTGTTCCACTACTACAGTAATAATCCCGATAACACTCGACCTCTGCCTGATCCAGAGGATATCACCACTTTACCTTCACACAGACATCGAACGCTGTAAGAAGATGACGAGCAGACTTCATTAGACAATTGTTCTGCTCAGAACAAATGCTGGACGCTATATGTTTGCTCATCAACAGCCCTATAAAGTAAAATAGGGCTTGACAAGAAAAAAATCAAATATATCTGGAGCCAGGACATCAGATATACGTTCATGAGCCCTGATTCGTTCCACCATAAATCGGAACTGCCTAACAGTTGGGGCAGCTACACAGGTATGAGGACTTTGTTGGTGCGGTGGAAAAGGTGGGTGCTGCTCACTGCTGCTGTTCCTATAGCCTGTTCGGACTTTCATCCGTGGCCTAGGTCATATGGTGTTTTTCCTGGAAATCACTTTTCTCTACGTTTCATGCTACCCTGATCATTATGAGCCGAAATCATTGTTATGATATCTGGCCAATCACCTTCCCAACTACTTACATTAGCATTTAACAGCCGGATACCGGATTCATTTCGAAACTTTATCACTGTCAGAGTGGAATTTGAATTAAAAAAATTGTCAACTTGTTATTATTTTAGATAAGAGGGTAAAAAATAAAATGTTAATTACGTAATCCCCCCCCCTCGTAATCAACCGTAATCATTTGGGAACCCCCTAGGCTGATTACGTTATATGTGAACGACCCCTAATCGTCAAAACAAGCGTCGAAATTCTGGATTACAAAACAACATTTTATAAGGAATTGCAACTTTTCATTCCTGCTCGTTGCCATTATTTTTTAATCCCCCGGGGAGAAGGGAGTGTTTTCGTGTTCTTAAATCATCACCAATCAATTTGTCGTAAAATTTTAAGTTAGAATGATCGCAGGTAAAGTTCTCAATAATGTTGGTGTACTTAAGCACTTTTATCAGAAAACGTAATTTTTAAACTTTTTATTTTAGCGTGTCCCAATATTACAACCAGTGTTTCGTCACAACAGTATTAGACTAATTTTTGGTCATGTTTTCGATGACCAGTGGTTTGAACGGGTCATTTTCATCAGAACATGGAGCTTTTGCCGATGTGGCTGTACTTAAGCACTTTTCTAAGAAAACGAAATTTCAAATTTTCTATTTCAGCGTGTCCCCTATTTACAACCAATGTTTCATCACAACAGTTTAAGGCTAATTTTTCGTTTTACTTTCGATGACCAATGGTTTGAACGGGTCATTTTCATCAGAACATGTAGTATTTGCCGATGTGACTGTACTTAAGCACTTTTCTAAGAAATTCAAACTATAATTTGAGATTTTGAGGCACTTTCCGAGAAATTAGGATGATGAAACCTTGTCAGAAGTCTCAAAAGTCGACAAAGTACCTTAGAAACATAGTGGGTGCAGTTTAAATTGGACAGTAGCTAGCCCAGAGCAATTACAGAATTGAAATCTTTAACCTCAATTTGCACAAAATGAACCTTGTGTTACTTAAGCACTTTTGTCAGAAAACGGCAGAGTTGTGGGATTATACTGGATAACAGATATGATGAGTGGTAACATCCTACAAAATAATGTTAGCTTACTAAGTAATTTTCCTCTTAGCGAATCCTACGAGAACTTAACTAAGTTCCTCCTAGTCCTAAGCATTATCTTGTTTCAGAGGGACTGAGTCATTTTAAAAGATGAAGCCAAAGAAGAGATTCATCTGTTCCGTTCATAGCCGATAGTTGTGAAGAAAGGAAGAAGGCATTTGCACTCTGTAATTTGTAAGCAAATTTTTTCGATATTTATAGTTATTTACTGACCTTGACGAATCAGCATTCAGCAAGATATCACTGGACCTCGTTAGTCGTTAGTCATTTTATGCTGATCCAGTTAGTTACGAGCTATCAAGTAATCATTCGATCTCATTAATACTGATCCTATCAATGACGAGCTATGAAGTAATCAGTGGATCTCGTCAATACTCATCCTGTCAGTGACGAGTTATGAAGAAATCAACGAAGACCTCATTAATTTCCTTGTTCCACGAAGATATTCAATTCCTCTGGTAACCAAACCCCTTCTGGCCTACTTCTGAACATATGAAGATTCGAAAACCAAGTCTACCTAAATCTGAACTTTCTGACTGCGTTGGAGAATGGAGAACAATCGAAAAATGATAACCAGTCCCAGGATATAATCAAAGTTCAATTTGGAATCTTTTTTTATTTCTTTATGCTGTGTGTAAGTTTGGTGTGAAGCATTATTTTCTTTTCTAAAGCTAACAGTGTTAAACTAAATTGATATCAGTTAAAGATGATATATTTTAACAGGTAAAATTAATATAATTGACGATTAAGTGATATAAGAATGTGTTCAGGACTCTGAAAGTGTCACACTCCTATAGCAATGGTATGAAAAGGTTAACTTTAGTCAAGGTCTCATGTCTCTACGACCTTCACTTTTGGCGCAGTGAATCCCGCGCTTCAGCGCAATGCGCAAACTCCTGCAGGAACTTCCCGACATTGTAGAGACCTGAGACCTCGACTAAAGTTAACCATTTTCTACTGTTTATATTAGAGGAGCACACATTCAAAACTCCTTCCATACTCCTTCATGACTAAATTGACGATTTAGACAATTTTACCTGTATAAGAAACGCTATAAAAATGGGCGTGGCATGTGCGGACCATATCCGGAACACTAGAGTCAAAAAAAATTTTTGGTCGTTCCTGACCCTATAGAGCAACTAATAAGATATGATTTCTAATTATTTGAACAACTTTTGGTAAAATGAACCACTCTAATGTTACCCTGTGAGCGTGTTGAATTCTGGGGTTATGAGGTGAACTACCAACTTCTTTGTACGGTCATATCACATGATCGAGGCTGTTTTCACCAATATCTAGTCTGGGGAGCATTTTAACCCTATGTCGTTGAGGGTTATTCGGAATCAGCGCCCGAAAATACATCGATTTAGATTGATTTCAACTGTCTGGGGCCCTTTTAGGAAAATCTCACAAATCGAGTGTAGAGTGATTTAGCACGCTCGTAGAGTGATTTAGCACGCTCGTAGAGTGATTTAGCACGCTCGTAGAGTGATTTAGCACGCTCGTAGAGTGATTTAGCACGCTCGTAGAGTGATTTAGCACGCCCGTAGAGTGATTTAGCACGCTCGTAGAGTGATTTAGCACGCTCGTAGAGTGATTTAGCACGCTCGTAGAGTGATTTAGCACGCTCGTAGAGTGATTTAGCACGCTCGTAGAGTGATTTAGCACGCTCGTAGAGTGATTTAGCACGCTCGTAGAGTGATTTAGCACGCTCGTAGAGTGATTTAGCACGCTCGTAGAGTGATTTAGCACGCTCGTAGAAAACCCACATTGTACCTCCCGTTGGAGCCAGCCACCCCACTACACACACCGCGTGAGAGTTACTATGGTAACTAGTAGTGTAACTATGGTAACTAGTAGTGTAACTATGGTAACTAGTAGTGTAACTATGGTAACTAGTGGTGTAACTATAATAACTATAAGTGTAACTATGGTAACTAGTAGTGTAACTATGGTAACTAGTAGTGTAACAATAATGACTAGTCTAGTAGTGTAACTATGGTAACTAGTAGTGTAACTATGGCAACTAGTAGTGTAACTATGATAACTAGTAGTGTAACTATGGTAACTAGTAGTGTAACTATGGTAACTAGTAGTGTAACTATGGTAACTAGTAGTGTAACAATAATTACTAGTCTAGTAGTGTAACTATGGTAACTAGTAGTGTAACTATGGTAACTAGTAGTGTAACTATGATAATTAGTAGTGTAACTATGGTAACTAGTAGTGTAACTATGGTAACTAGTAGTGTAACTATGGTAACTAGTGGTGTAACTATGGTAACTAGTAGTGTAACTATGGTAACTAGTGGTGTAACTATGGTAACTAGTGGTGTAACTATGGTAACTAGTAGTGTAACTATGGTAACTAGTAGTGTAACTATGGTAACTAGTAGTGTAACTATGGTAACTAGTAGTGGTATCATGGTAACTAGTGGTGTAACTATGGTAACTAGTGGTGTTACTATGGTAACTAGTAGTGTAACTATGGTAACTAGTGGTGTAACTATGGTAACTAGTGGTGTTACTATGGTAACTAGTAGTGTAACTATGGTAACTAGTAGTGTAACTATGGTAACTAGTAGTGTAACTATGGTAACTAGTAGTGTAACTATGATAACTAGAAGTGTAACTATGGTAACTAGTAGTGTAACTATGGTAACTAGTAGTGTAACTATGGTAACTAGTGGTGTAACTATGATAACTATAAGTGTAACTATGGTAACTAGTAGTGTAACTATGATAACTAGTAGTGTAACTATGGTAACTAGTGGTGTAACTATGGTAACTAGAAGTGTAACTATGGTAACTAGTAGTGTAACTATGGTAACTAGTAGTGTAACTATGGTAACTATGGTAACTAGTTGTTATTAACTACATATTATTCACTCAGCCGACTGCTTCACCTTTTGTTGACCTCATGAACTATACTGATGAAGACAGGAAACGTTTCGAAAACATGTCCGAGTGGTGTTGGAGGGATGATGGGGAATATAATTGGGTTTGGATCCCGAAAGGTACCATTTCATTTTAAATTTTCATATTTGCTGGATAAGGTAAAGAAAGTACTTGTAACATGATGATGATGTTATGTCATAATATTTACTTACTTCCTTACTTACTTACTTTCTAACACATGTCAGAATAAATTAAACCAGGGCGAAGATTCTAAGTTAGAATCTTCGCCCTGGTTTAATTTATTCTAAAATTTATCAGAATCTTACTGGAAATACTTCAGCCTGAAATTATTGTGAAATTTGTGAAATTTGGGACATGCTTACCGGACAAACTCATAGCCAACTAGGCCAGAGGACCTGTGACCAAACTTTTGAGGGGGTCCCGGACCCCAACACATTTGTGCCCATATTTGTGCCAAATCACCTCAACATACCCGAAACCTAGATTTCAGGTGTTCTACCTGTAGTTAGTGGTCCCCTAAACTCTTACATGGATTTTCATCCAGATTTATTAAAAAACTTAATTAAAGCAAACAATTTCAGGCACGATTAGAGTGACGGGTAAAAAGGAAAAGACTAAATGTTTAGGTGATAACGAACAGGAGGTTAGAGGTGCAGGATGTTGTAACAAGATACCTGAGGACTGGTAGACTTGTCACAAGATCCCTGAGGACTGGTAGACTTGTCACAAGATACCTGAGGACTGGTAGACTTGTCACAAGATACCTGAGGACTGGTAGACTTGTCACAAGATACCTGAGGACTGGTAGACTTGTCACAAGATACCCGAGGACTGGTAGACTTGTCACAAGATACCTGAGGACTGGTAGACTTGTCACAAGATACCTGAGGACTGGTAGACTTGTCACAAGATACCTGAGGACTGGTAGACTTGTCACAAGATACCTGAGGACTGGTAGACTTGTCACAAGATACCTGAGGACTGGTAGACTTGTCTCAAGATACCTGAGGACTGGTAGACTTGTCACAAGATACCTGAGGACTGGTAGACTTGTCACAAGATACCTGAGGACTGGTAGACTTGTCACAAGATACCTGAGGACTGGTAGACTTGTCACAAGATACCTGAGGACTGGTAGACTTGTCACAAGATACCTGAGGACTGGTAGACTTGTCACAAGATACCTGAGGACTGGTAGACTTGTCACAAGATACCTGAGGACTGGTAGACTTGTCACAAGATACCTGAGGACTGGTAGACTTGTCACAAGATACCTGAGGACTGGTAGACTTGTCACAAGATACCTGAGGACTGGTAGACTTGTCACAAGATACCTGAGGACTGGTAGACTTGTCTCAAGATACCTGAGGACTGGTAGACTTGTCACAAGATACCTGAGGACTGGTAGACTTGTCACAAGATACCTGAGGAGTGGTAGACTTGTCACAAGATACCTGAGGACTGGTAGACTTGTCACAAGATACCTGAGGACTGGTAGACTTGTCACAAGATACCTGAGGACTGGTAGACTTGTCACAAGATACCTGAGGACTGGTAGACTTGTCTCAAGATACCTGAGGACTGGTAGACTTGTCTCAAGATACCTGAGGACTGGTAGACTTGTCACAAGATACCTGAGGACTGGTAGACTTGTCACAAGATACCTGAGGACTGGTAGACTTGTCACAAGATACCTGAGGACTGGTAGACTTGTCACAAGATACCTGAGGACTGTCAGACCGATAATAGATAACGAAATAAGATATACTGATAGAGATAAGAGATAACCGGTTATCACTGAAGAAGGAACCCATAAACAATCTTAACAATATTCCACTATATATTCCTCAGCATTTTAACAAAAGCTTTAAAAATTGCATATGAATTTTGGGACAGTTGTATCTCTGTGATTATTTATAATTGGAATTTTATCCTTTTTGTTATTCCATTTAATTTAAAATAGGAAATTAATTGTAGACTGGCAAAGTTCTCAAAAACTGTGGCATCTGGACGTAGTCTAGTGTAACTATAAAATAAGATAAGATAAGATTTAAAATTATGCCTCTCTGGGCATCTCATACAAATATAATTACTTCAAAACTGTACAATTTATACGGCTACAGCACTGACCACAACCTTGTATCACGCTGTGACCCCCACTCGTGCGCGGCGGGTCATACAGCGTAAAAAAAACACAACCCTAACTGCTCACCAAATCCTTATTAGCAACTCATAACTGAGTCTGAAGCATATGCTAAAACAGTAAAACCCTAACCCTAACGAGAAATTAGACCAACTTCATAATATTATGGTCATACCATCACTTGTCATACGTTGTATGACCCGCCGCGCACGAAGTGCGCGGCTCCCCTGTATCGTCAGAACGATAAAGTGAAACGACCGTGGGGGTCGCAACGTGATACAAACCATCACCTGATCGTGAGTGATCGAGACAATTTTTTTGCCGATGTCTTGCTAAGCAAGGAATTATTTTAACCTTTAGTCTGCGTAATAAGCGCCATGAGTTGGCACAAAATTTTTTCCTCCGATTTCGATAAATTTGGTACCAAAAGTTGCATCTAAAAATGAAAATAAAATAATTCCACCGTGTAGCAATTTTTGTTAAAAATGCTGCACGGCGCTTGTTTGCCGTGCGTGCTTTTTAAAAAGTTTTTGGCTAATAACTTTCACATTTTCAGTTATTATCACTTAATTATTTTAATACTTTCAACACTACTTTATAATAAATAAATTTAGGCATGTACAATGGCATGACGGGCTAGGAAGTACAGCCGATCTCCTGGTATGCGGGTGCGCTGGGGTTCCTGAAGTTCGCCTCCTGAGTTAGGCTCCTCTCGCCCAGTGCTTGCACTGGGCAACAACACCTTAAACACGATGTAAGTTTCTCTTTTACTTCTTTCTCATTGTTAGCTTATTTTGAATGTGAATTTTTACATCTCTGATATTGCCCCTCTTATCCTTACTCTAGCTATATTTTCACTGGCAAATTTAACTTTACTCCCGACCAGCAGTTTCATTACACATTTTCTCGTGCCATTTTCCTTCCAGGTCGTGTTTAGTGTTGTGGGAGGTTGCCTACTCTGAGGTGTTACGGATGGTTCCCTGGCAAACTTTGCTGCCAGACTCGACAATCTCTGACAACAATGATAAACCTTCAAGAGATTTTCGACTATGTCAAAGCTGCCTCAGTTGAGGATCTACGTCATATCCTTAACTCTGTTCAAAACGAGCTGCCAAAGCGTGAGGGAAAGGTGGACAATTTTGTGTTACATATAGAGGACTTCTGCGAGGATGAGGTTCTCCGTGATGCGGTATGGGTTGAATGTGAGTCCCTGCAGAAACTGAACACCGAGGGAAGACACAAGGCAACAACAGCTTGGTTGTGCTCACAGGATGCACCCTATATTTACACTGACACAAATCCAGTGCACCCACCACAGGATATCAGTGGTTTCCCTAATATCAAAAGACTCCTGAGTCTTGTAAACTCGAGTACGGAGATAACTGGACCTCTGGACTCATGTCTGGTCATCAAGTATGGAAACAACCAAGCGAGTACTTCAATACACAATGACGGTGAGAAACTAATGGACCAGGAGAAATCGATTTGCTCTTTCTCACTGGGATGTGAACGGACGCTTGAGTTTTACGAGGGCACAACTGGGAAACCTAATTGTGTCAAGACGATAAGGATGAAGAACAACAGTCTTGTTGTAATGCGGCCTGGGACACAGCAGAATCTGAGGCATGCTGTGCGAGCAGAGCCGGCCACAAAGGGAGAGCCTCCAAAGAAATCGGAGCAAGTAAGATACTCCCTGTCATTTCGAGCTATTGTGAAATCTGGTGGCCAAGTTAGCTCTCAGAATATCAGCACAGAGACTAGTACACCAGCTTCTGGCACCGAAGCCCAAGTACCTGCGCAAAGAGTCACGTTGGTTGCTGGAGACTCTTATGCTCAAAGATTGGACTCCGCAAAGCTGGGAAAAGGGAAAGTCACAGTCGTAAATGTTGCAGAAGGCGGAGCAAAAATGGACAAAGTCCAGAAACAGTTGGAGGACTACTGCACGGCACATCCTGATGTCCACGTTGAGAAGCTTCTGATCAGCGTAGGCACAAACGATATTAGGCGTGTGGGGGATAAAATTGGTATTTTGAGGGGACCAGTAAAGCAACTTTTTGGTAAGATAGGCCTATTATTTCCCAACTGTAAGGTATATGTTCAATCTCTATTGCCATTACCTTTACAGAATGATAACGATAAATTAACTAACAAGAGGGTAATGGATTTTAATAGGATTTTATACAATGAGTGTGTATTTAGGAGGTTCTTTTTCATGGATGTGTTTTATCCCTTTACAAAGTTTAAGAGAGCTCTAAGTGAGCCTGTTAAGAGATTTGATCCCTTATTTGAGAACAAAGGCATTCACCCCAATCCTCAGAAAGGTATGGGTGTGTTGGCCAGATTTTATATTCGTGCCATCCACAGTAGATATTTTAATCCTTATATCTATCAGTAGTTCTTTTGTGCTGTCTTCTGAACCTTGTTAAGCTAATGATATGCAGTTGTAGTCTGGCAAGTATACTCACCTGTAAAACACCATGATCGATTTAGTAACATACAGATTTAGAGTTGGAGTGTTTAGTGGAAATTCTTTTGCAAAATCCATCAAACATCAGAACCGTAGACGTGGTACAGGTAGTATTTTTGATTATTTAGACAGCTGCATTGATTCTCGCTTATTATTTTATATTTTTTATGTTATATTCATATGTCACTTTTCGCTAATCACTATCACATATGTCGGGGTAAGTGGGTTGGCTTTTTCTAGGGTCACTTATGATTGCCGAGCCTTTGTACCAACATACCCAGTTCCTAACTTGTGCCGATGCTTTACAGTTTATTTCTTTTTATATTTAGCAAATATGTATTATCTGAGGAATAATTACAGTTTCGATGGTTTATATAGATTTTGCCAGATTTCAATCCATAAGAACTTAAATTGCATATTTACTGGTAGAACCGGCAATACACTCACGGGATGCATAATTTGGTTGTTTTTGATGAATGGTTTTTTGATAGTTTTAGTAAAACCTGGAATTGTAAACCCAGGGCCGTCTCCCATAGGTGTTAGAGTTGGGAATGGTAATAAATTGAATGTTTACTTTCAGAATGTTCAAGGTCTCATCCCTTTTGGTGAACTGAACAATGCCCATCCAATGATTGATACCACTAAATGTCTTGAAGTGTCGACTTATCTTAATGAGGCTAAGATAGATATTGCAATACTTAACGAAACCTGGTTTAAGAGTTCTATTGCTGATAGTGAATTTCTGCACCCTGACAGATATAAGATATTTCGCTCTGATAGATCGAAGAAAACTCATCCACCAGATCCTTCTAATCCAACCCGGTTTAGGAGGAATGGTGGAGGGGTCATGATTGCAGTGAGAGCAGACCTTGATCTAACTTCAAAGGAAGTTCATCTCAAGTATGGTGCAGAAATTCTTGCTGTGGAATTTAAGACATCCACTGGAATTAAGTTTGTTGTATGCACATGTTATCGTGTTGGTACACTGGGCTCCGCAAATCATGAAAAAATTGTTGAGTCTTTGAAAACTCTTCTCAGAAGAAGAGGACTGAGTAAAGTCTTCATACTAGGAGATTTTAACCTGACCGGAGTTTCCTGGTCTACCCTGGCCAGCTCCTGTCCTATTGAGCAATCTTTTGTTGAATCTTTTGTTGATCTAGGC